TTTTTTAAATAGATTGTTTTTCCCCCCCAAAATGTTCCCTGACTGGGCCATCCGGCGACCCCTTCGTGTGTGTGGGAACGAGCCCGCGGAAGCGTGCATCACAGAGCTACCGCTGAGATCCCTCCTGCCCCTTCTGACCTCTGGTTCCACACAGTGGCAAACTTTCCCACCCGCCTTGCCACTTAAGAGCGGCGTTCGTCACGCAACAGCAAAACCGATAGAGCTGGAATTTAGCCCAAGTCCAAGTTCAGAAGCCAAATGTAATTGAGGGTTTTTTTATATTTTATTGTTGTTGTTGTGTGTGTGTGCAGTCATTGGCGGATGAGCGGTGGATTCGAACCGAGCTGCTCCAGCGTTGTCGGCTCTGCGTTCTGACGCTTGAGCCCCCCTCTCCACCCGCGAGAGAGGAGGGGGGGTAGAGCGATTCACTGATTAATCGATCGGTATCGGTTCTGAAGCTTAACTTAAGCGCATTTCATCGCGCGCGTCATAACGATCTCCTGTGGAGTTGCCACTGTGTGTGCGCGTGTGTACATCATTTGCTTTGTGTGTCAAAGTCCGTGCGTGACAGCGTGCATCCAATACCGGTGGCGATTATCTGAACCGGCCCTGGGTCACCCCTAGGTTGACTCCGCCTCAAATGAGCACCTGGTGCGGTGTGTAAACATCGCCACGAGTGAGCCAAAGGCGGCCGGGCGTGGTGCTGGCCACCCACCCCCTCGTGTGCCGTGCCGGCCTTCATAGGTGCTCGCTAACGCCACTTGCCCCTACAGTCTGTCAAGGAAACACGGGGGATCGTTGTTACTGTTGTTAGTGTGTGTGCGCTACAAACCCGGCGACCCGAGTTTGATTTCCACTCACGACCACCAACACCAGTGACGATTATCTGAACCGTTCCTGTGTCTCGCCTAGGGCGACTCAGCCTCAAATGAGTTGCCTGGTGCGGATATGTAAAAAAAATCGCCACTCGGGATACAAAGGCGGCCGGGCGTGGTGCTGGCCACCCACCCCCTCGTGTACCGTGTTGGCCTTCATAGGTTGCTACTCGCTTTGTCTTTGTCCTGTTTGTCAGTGTGTGCGTGGTGCACGTGGTGTGCGTGGTGCACGTGGTGTGCGTGGTGCACGTGGTGTGCGTGGTGCGCGTGGTGCACGTGGTGTGCGTGGTGCACGTGGTGTGCGTCAGTGCTTCTGAGAACCCATAGACTCGTTAAGACACAGAGACACGGGGGGGAGAGAGAGAGAGGCGTGAATAGAGAATAGAGAAGGGGCTGGGTGGAGGGGTGAACAAAGCGGAGACGATGGCACCCAAAACAGGGGATGAGAGGGGACATGAAAGCGAGATGGAGATTAGAAGACAAATGGCCAGAGAGAGGACTATTTTTTTGTCATGTATTATAAAAACTCTTTAAGACCTCGTTTACAAATAGTGAAAAATAATCCACTGGTCCGCGAAGGCCTTCCCCGTGCCATGTCGCTCGTGTGGGGAGAGCGGTCGTTTGACCATACTTCACCACGCTGGTCGTGCTGGATGAATAGAACTCAGATAGCCGGGTTCAGAACGCAGCGCGCTAACCACAGCGCCACCGCTCCACGCGCTGCTACCAACACCACCATCAATACTACAACCATCACCATCATCATTACTATCACTGACATTTTTAGCTTCACCAATTATCGTGACTACGATGACCATCATCATCAACACCATCGTCACCATCACCATCATAATCACCATCATCATCACCACCATCATTACTATCACTACCATTTTAAGCTTCGCTCAATATCGTGACTACGATGATCATCACCATCGCCACCACCCTCATCATCATCCTCTTTTCTCGAGGGTTAACAACCCGAGTAAGCGACCTTGCAGGAAGCCAGCAATGTAACGCGTTACACAATCTACAAGTCCCCGTTATTAGAATACATCCACAGCCCTTATTCGAGAAAGAGACGCGATTCTACTGGGCCAAGAAAGGCGAGGAGCGGTGGCGCAGCGGTGAGCGCACTGTTCTCAACCCCGGCCGGCCTGAGTTCGTTTCCCGGCCACGGCTAACATCAGTGGCGAGTTCACAAATCTTGATCCTATCGTGGGTTCCTCCAACTTAAGTGTGGTCAAACAGCACGGCACGGGAAGGCATCCGTCCAGCAGTGGATTGACAATGGCCTGTAACAGTGAAAACGCAATTTAAATGTTCATATCACACAAAATATCGGCAAAAAAACTGAGGAATATATAGAGAGAGAGCGAGTGTGTGTGTGAGAGCGAGATACGTTCAAGTTGATTCTTTTTAACGTGGTAAGAACTCAAGATGTCACGGTGAGTTTCATCTGAAGACCGACCTGGGGCATTAGTCTGCCAGTCGATTATCCCAATTGAGTGATAGCAGATACAGATTTACGTCTCCCCCCCCCCCCCCCCCCCCCTCTTACGTCGTTTCGCAAACACGTCGCCACTTTTATTAACACCGCGACCTGATTTAACGTCGACTCAAGCCCCACACTTACGTCGCTGACAGCATGGTCCGTTCCTCTCTCGTTATCCGTCGCCTCTCAGCCTTCGCCTCCACCACCACCACCAACCACCACCACCTACTACTGCTACCCTGTACATCGCTTCGATGTTTAACGTCGTTTCGGTATTCGCCGTCGCACCTTCCAGGAACGCATCCTCGACGTAGACCGGGGCATTGGTGGGAACGACGAAGGCGCAGGAAAAGGGAAAGAAAAACGCGCAGAGCAGCAAAGCGAGAGACGGAAAAGACAGCGGAGAAAACAATGCGAGCAAGACGAACAAAACGACCGAATAGCAAGCGTCCAACGTGCATTTAGACGTGATAAAATACAAATGACACCACTGAAGTACACAGAGAGAAAGAGAGACAAAGACGGAGAGAGAGAGAGAGAGCGACAGATACACAGAGCCGAGAAACAGAGACACGAAGACGCAACTTAGAAAAGCGACACACAATAGACAAAGATCCCCAGGATAGCCTTACCAGACTGTTGGGGCAAGTGCTGTTACCGAGCACCTACGAAGCAATACACAGATAGACCCACAAATATAGACACACACAGATAGACACACACAGATAGACACACAAATATAAAGATCCTCAGTATAGCCTTACCAGACTGTTGGGGCAAGTGCTGTGACCAAGCACCTATGAAGGCCGACACAGCACACGAGGGGGTGGGTGGCCAACACCACGCCCGATCGTCTTTGTCTCCCCAGTGGCGATGATTCTACACACCGCACCAGGTTCTCATTTGAGGCTGAGTCGACCTAGGGGATGCCCAGGACCGGTTCAGATAATCGTCACTGGGTGTTGGCCGTGATCGGGAATCGAACTCGGTTTGCCGGGTTCGTGGCGCAGCGCGCTGACCGCTACACCACCGCTCCCCACACACACAGAAAGACACACACACAGAAAGACACACACACACACATAGACATCTGAGCAAGAGATGGAGAGAGAGACACACACACGGAGACACGTGAAGACAACGCTGTTGTAGTATGGGCACGGTAGACACAGAGACGCGTAAACACACTTGTCCCGTGCCCTTTAAGAAGAAAATAGTCCCTAAACCACGCAAACCTCCCCCGCACAACCTATACCTCTTGTGTTGTCAAAGACCCGCGTGCGTGTGTGTACATGTATGTGCGCGTGTGTGTATATATATGTGTAAACATAACCACTGGGGAGACAAAGGCGGCTGGTAGAAATCCTAGCCACGCCACATCCTCGTGCGCAGTTGCGGCCTTAATATGTGCTCGCTAACATCACTTGCCCCAGCAGTTTAGGTAGGCTACACGGTAGATCTTTACATTTACATATTTGCGTGTTAGTCTACATGTGTGTGTGTGTGCCCTAGCCATCGATGTGTGTGTGAGAGTGAGGTGGGAGGAGGGATGGTGGTGATGGTGGTGGCGAGATAAAAGGAGCGATGGTGGAGGAGACGCGATGGTGGATGAGAGGTGATGGTGATGGAGGAGAGGTGATGGTGATGGTGGATGAGAGGTGATGGTGGTGGTGGATGAGAGGTGATGGTGGTTGAGAGGTGATGGTGGTTGTAGATGAGAGGTGATGGTGGATGAGAGGTGATGATGGTGGTAGATGAGAGGTGATGGTGGTAGTAGATGAGAGGCGATGGTGGTGGTGGATGAGAGGTGATGGTGGAGGTGGATGAGAGGTGATGGTGGATGAGAGGTGATGGTGGTGGTGGAGGAGAGGCGATGGTGATGGTGGTTGAGAGGTGATGGTGGATGAGAGGTGATGATGGTGGTGGATGAGAGATGATGGTGGATGAGAGGTGATGGTGGTGGTGGATGAGAGGTGATGGTGGTGGTGGATGAGAGGTGATCATGGTGGTGGATGAGAGGTGATGGTGATGGAGGAGAGGTGATGGTGATGGTGGATGAGAGGTGATGGTGGTGGTGGATGAGAGGTGATGGTGGATGAGAAGTGATGGTGGTGGTGGATGAGAGGCGATGGTGGTGGTGGATGAGAGGTGATGGTGGTGGTGGAGGAGAGGCGATGGTGATGGTGAATGAGAGGTGATGGTGAATGAGAGGTGATGGTGGATGAGAGGTGATAGTGGTGGTGGATGAGAGGCGATGGTGATGGTGGATGAGAGGCGATGGTGGTGGTGGATGAGAGGTGATGGTGGTGGTGGATGAGAGGTGATGGTGGTGGTGGATAAGAGGCGATGGTGGTGGAGGAGAGAGGTGATGGTGGTGGTGTGTGCAAGAGAGAGGTGGGAGGCATGGCTGGTGATGATGATGGAGAGAGAGAGAGTGAAGAGGCGATGGTGGTGGAAGAGAGGTGATGGTGGTGTGTGCATGAGAGAGGCGGGAGGTATGGGTGATGATGATGGTTGTGGTGGAGGAGGAGGAGAGAACAGAGTGATGGGGGTGGTGGTGGTTGCTGCGTGATGCGTACGTGCGTGTGTGCGGTGGGGGGGGTCGTTTTTGTTGTAAATCCCACCCACCGCATCCCACCACCCTTCCCGCACCCCTAACCCCAACCCTAACCCCGACCCTAACCCCAACCCCCACTGTTCGGTAATCGGACAGCCACCGCGGAGGCTGCGCGTTGGGGCATCTCAGCCTGGATGCGATCCGTGATCAAACACGCGCCGTCACACAAACGGCATCCCAACAGTACACACACACGCACACGCGCACGTGCGCATCACGACAGTATATAACAGTACTTATTTATTTCCTTCGTAAATGGCGCTAACGCACCAGGCTCCATCTCTGACCGATGTTCATCTTCTTCTGCTGCTGCTGCTTCTTCTTCCCTGGGAGTCTTCCTCTGCTCCTGTCGCAGCCGCGAGCGAGTTTCGCCACGTAGTTTGCTTGCTTGCTTGGCGAGGGTGATGGTGGCGGTGTTATTAAGTGGTGGTGGTTGTTGTTGTTGTGTCCGGAGCCGAGCAATTATGTCAGCTTGTCAATACGCGTGCGTAAAAAGTCCTCCTCCAACTTGAAGGCCATCCCTGCGCGTGAAGAATCCATCTCATCCCGGTCTCGCGCTGTTGGAAGTGCGGTGGGCGGGCGGGCGGGGTGTGTGTGTGGATTTCTTCTTCTCCGCGTGAAATATATTTAATTAATTCCGGTAAAGGTCATCTTTTGTGTCCGCTCCACCTCCGTATCTCCTTTTGACTCTTTTCTCATTTTCAAAGTCGCCCCCTTTTCTGTTGCCTCTCTTCTGCTTCCAAAAAACACCGCCGAACAGGGCCCCACCGCTCACCCACTCACCCAACCAACCACCCACCCGCAGCACGCACACACACACGCGCGTACACAAGAACACACACGCACAGAGGGGGGGCCGATCTTGAGCAAGGAGGAGAAGAATTCGAAGTTTCGCGTTAACACACTCGCTATGGCAATGGTGGTCGGAAATCCATGGCGAGAACCTCCAAACGGAACTCCTATCGCGAGCGGTAACAGCACACAGACCTCGTCGTCATCATCATCCTCTTCATCAGCAGCAGCAGCATCATCAGCAGCCGTGTCTGGAAGTGCTTCGCTATTACTGGGGCAGCAGCAGCAGCAGCAGCAAACCTCAAGTCTGCAGACATCAATCGCGGTTGCGGGAAACGTGAGCAGCGTCGATTCACTATCCTCTTCCTCGTTATCCTCCTCATCATCATCATCATCATCCTCATCCTCCTCGTCGTCCTCGACGTCGTCAGCGCACGGGACAAAGTCGGCGTCCGCCTCTCATCATCATCAACAACAACAGCAGCAGCATCAGCAACAACAACAACATCATCATCAGCAGCAGCAGCAACAGCAGCAGCAGCAGAACGCGGAGTGCGTGGTGTGCGGCGACAAGTCGAGCGGCAAGCACTACGGGCAGCTGACGTGCGAAGGCTGCAAGAGCTTCTTCAAGCGGAGCGTTCGACGCAACCTCAACTACGCGTGCCGCGCGGCGCGCGCCTGTCCCATCGACCAGCACCACCGCAATCAGTGTCAGTACTGCCGCCTCAAGAAGTGCCTCAAAGTGGGCATGCGGCGAGAAGGTGGGCCTGCGAGAGGTGTGTGGCCACGGAGTGAGTGTTGTTGCCGCTGCTGTGTGTGGGGGTGTGTGGGGTGTGTGGGGTGTGTGGGATGTGGAGCTGTTGTGTTGGGGTGTGGAGTTGTTGTGCGTGGGGGTGTGGAGTTGTTGTGTGAGATGTGGGGTAATTGTGTGGGATGTGGGGCGTGGAGTTATTGTGCGTGGTGTGGTGTTATTGTGCAAGATGTGGTGTTATTGTGTGAGATGTGGTGCGTGGAGTTATTGTGCGTGGTGTGGTGTTATTGTGTGAGATGTGGTGTTATTGTGTGAGATGTGGTGTTATTGTGTGAGATGTGGTGCGTGGAGTTATTGTGCGTGGAGTTATTGTGTGTGGTGTGGCGTCATTGTGTAGGATGTGGTACGTGGTTGTTATTGTGTATGGTGTTATTGTATGGGATGTGGTGTGTGGTGTTATTGTGGGTGTGGAGTGTGTGGTCATTGTGTGGGATGTGGTGAGTGTGTGTGGAGTGTGTGTGTGTGGTTATTGTGTGAGATGTGATGTGTGTGTGTGGTGGTATTGTGTGGTGTATCCGTGTATGTATGTGGTGTGTTATTGTACGTGTGGTGTTATTGTGCGTGTGGAGTTATTGTGTATGGTGTTATTTCAAGGACAATGCATATATTGTCATAGTATGTTTTTTGTTTGCATTTTGACTGCAGGTATTGTGGTTAATGCAGACATGAATCCTTGTAAAAAGGTTTCAGTTTTGTTGCCAGAAAAAGAGGAAAACCCCTATTATTACATGTGTGTGTGGAGTTATTGTGTATGGTGTTATTGTGTGGGGTGTGTGTGTGTGTATGGGGGGTGTGTGGTGTTATTTTGTATGTGTTGTGTGGGGCGCGTGGATCTGGCCACCCATCTCCTCGTGTGCCGTGCCAGCCTTCATAGGTGCACACTAACAGGACTTGCCCCAAAACTGTGTTGACCCAATACGGGTGATCTTTGTCTTTGGGGTGTGTGTATGGTGTATGTGGGGTGTGTGGTATTGTGTGTGGTGCTGGCGTGTTCGGTGATGTTAAGGCTATGGGGAGGGGGGGGGGGTCTTTGTCTTATTGTATGTGGTTTTGTGTGTGTGTGGTTTTGTGTGTGTGTGGTTTTGTGTGTGGTTTTGTGTGTGCGTGGTTTTGAGTTGTGGTTTTGTGTGTGTGTGGTTTTGTGTTGTGTGGTTTTGTGTGTGTGGTTTTGTGTTGGGTGGTTTTGTGTATGTGTGGTTGTGTGTGTGTGGTTTTGTGTTGTGTGGTTTTGTGTGTGTGTGGTTTTGTGTGTGTGGTTCTGTGTGTTGTGTGGTTTTGTGTTGTGTGGTTTTGTGTGTGTGTGGTTTTGAGTTGTGGTTTTGTGTGTGTGTGATTTTGTGTTGCGTGGTTTTGTGTGTGTGTGTGGTTTTGTGTTGTGTGGTTTTGTGTTGTGTGGTTTTGTGTGTGTGTGGTTTTGTGTTGTGTGGTTCTGTGTGTTGTGTGGTTTTGTGTTGTGTGGTTTTGTGTGTGTGTGGTTTTGTGTTGTGTGGTTTTGTGTGTGTCTGGTTTTGTGTGTGTGTGGTTTTGTGTTGTGTTGTTATTGTGCGGCCTTCATAGGGGGTGCTACTCGCGAACAGCACTTGCCCCAACAGTCTGTTCAGGCTATACGAGGGGTCTCTGTCCTTCATAGGTGTCAATCGCTAACAGCACTTGCCCCAAAACGTCTGTTGAGGCTATACTGAAAGGGGGGTGGGTTCTTTGTCTTTGTACTCCAGGTGGGCCCGTGAGAGGTGCGATGTGTTCGGTGTGTGCGATAGGTGTGCGTGTGTGTGTGGTGTCTGTGTGGTGTCTGTGTATATATATTTACACACTCCACACACGGTGTGTGTCTGGGTCAAGGTTGGGCATACGGCGAGAATGTTGGAGCCCGGGAAGGTTGTGTTGGATGGTGTGTGTGATGTGTATGTAGTTTGGTGTGGGTGATGTGTGTGTGTGTAGTTTTGTGTGTGTGATGTGTGTGTGTGTAGTTTGGTGTGTGCGATGTGCGATGTGTGTGTGTAGTTTGGTGTTTGTGTGATGTGTGTGTAGTTTGGTGTGGGTGATGTGTGTGTTTAGTTTGGTGTGTGTGATGTGTGTGTGTGTGTAATTGTGTGTGTGTGTGATGTGTGTGTGTAGTTTGGTGTGGGTGATGTGTGTGTGTGTAGTTTGGTATGGGTGATGTGTGTGTGTGTGTAGTTTGGTGTGTGTGTGATGTGTGTGTGTGTAGTTTGGTGTGGATAATGTGTGTGTATGTAGTTTGGTGTGGGTGTGATGTGTGTGTGTAGTTTGGTGTGGGTGATGTGTGTAGTTTGGTGTGTGTGATGTGTGTGTATTTTGGTGTGGGTGTGATGTGTGTGTAGTTTGGTGTGGGTGTGATGTGTGTGTGTAGTTTGTTGTGGGTGATGTGTGTAGTTTGGTGTGGGTGATGTGTGTGTGTAGTTTGGTGTGGGTGTGATGTGTGTGTAGTTTGGTGTGGGTGATGTGTGTGTGTAGTTTGGTGTGTGCGATGTGTGTGTGTAGTTTGGTGTTTGTGTGATGTGTGTGTGTAGTTTGGTGTGGGTGATGTGTGTGTGTGTGTAATTTGGTGTGTGTGTGTGTGTGTGATGTGTGTGTGTAGTTTGGTGTGTGTGATGTGTGTGTATAATTTGGTGTGTGTGTGTGATGTGTGTGTGTAGTTTGGTGTGGGTGATGTGTGTGTGTGTAGTTTGGTGTGTGTGTGTGATGTGTGTGTGTAGTTTGGTGTGGATGATGTGTGTGTGTGTTGTTTGGTGTGGGTGTGATGTGTGTGTAGTTTGGTGTGGGTGATGTGTGTGTGTAGTTTGGTGTGGGTGATGTGTGTGTAGTTTGGTGTGGGTGTGATGTGTGTGTGTAGTTTGGTGTGGGTGATGTGTGTAGTTTGGTGTGGGTGATGTGTGTGTGTGTATTTTGGTGTGGGTGTGATGTGTGTGTAGTTTGGTGTGGGTGTGATGTGTGTGTGTAGTTTGGTGTGGGTGTGATGTGTGTGTGTAGTTTGGTGTGGGTGATGTGTGTGTGTGTAGTTTGGTGTGGGTGTGATGTGTGTGTAGTTTGGTGTGGGTGATGTGTGTGTGTAGTTTGGTGTGGGTGTGATGTGTGTGTGTAGTTTGGTGTAGGTGATGTGTGTAGTTTGTGGGTGATGTATGTGTGTGTGTAGTTTGGTGTGGGTGATGTGTGTGTGTGTAGTTTGGTGTGTGTGATGTGTGTGTGTAGTTTGGTGTGGATGATGTGTGTGTATGTAGTTTGGTGTGGGTCTGATGTGTGTGTGTGTAGTTTGGTGTAGGTGATGTGTGTGTGTGTAGTTTGGTGTGTGTGATGTGTGTGTAGTTTGGTGTGTGTGTGATGTGTGTGTGTGTAGTTTGGTGTGGGTGATGTGTGTGTGTAGTTTGGTGTGGGTGATGTGTGTAGTTTGGTGTGGGTGATGTGTGTGTGTGTAGTTTGGTGTGTGTGTGTCGGGCGTGGTGCTGGCCACCCACCCCCTCGTGTACCGTTCCGGCCTTCATAGGTGCTCGCTAACAGCACTTGCCCCAGCAGTATTTTTACAGGCTATACGGGGGAGCTTTGTCTTTGTGTGTGTGTCAGGGTGTGGGCCCTACTGTTTGTCACTTCTAGTTTAGGGTGATGTGTGTGTAATGTGGTGATTGTGGTGGAATCATTGTGTACGCAGTAGATGTCTACGTGATGTGTGTGTGTAGTGTATTAGTGCTTGGTATAGAGTACAGTATGTTTACTGCGGTGTGTGTGTGTGGAGTTGTGTGTAGTGTGCGTAGTGTGTTGTGTATAGTCTAGTGCGTGCAGTGTGGTGTGTGTAGTGTGGTGTGTGTAGTGTGGTGTGTATAGTGTAGTGTGGTGTGTGGTGTGTATAGTGTAGTGTGGTGTGTATAGTGTTTTGTGTAGTGTGTTTAGTGCAGTGTGTGTAGTGTGGTGTGTATAGTGTAGTGTGGTGTGTATAGTGTTTTGTGTGGTGTGTATAGTGCAGTGTGTGTAGTGTGGTGTGTATAGTGTAGTGTGGTGTGTATAGTGTTTTGTGTGGTGTGTATAGTGCAGTGTGTGTAGTGTGGTGTGTATAGTGTTTTGTGTAGTGTGTATAGTGTAGTGTTTTGTGTGGTGTGTATAGTGTAGTGTGGTGTCTGTAGCGTGGTGTGTATAGTGCAGTGTGTGTGTGTGTGTATTACGGTGTGTGGTAAATATGTATAAAGTATTAATCATTTAAGATTCGCTGATGACATAATCATCATAGCAGCACATGGTAATGATGAGCTTCAGAAAATTATTGAATAACTTAACGAAGTGGGCTCTGCGAAGTGGGGCTAAAAATAATGTTTAGTGTTGTGTTTATCCATTGTGTGTTTAGTGTTGTGTGTAGTGTTGTGTATAGTGGTGTGTGTATCGTGTAATTGGGGAGACAAAGGCGGTCGGGCGTGGTGCTGGCCACCCACCCCCTCGTGTACCGTTCCGAACTTCATAGGTGCTCGCTAACAGCACTTGCCCCTACAGTCTGTTACAGGCTATACGGGGCATATTTGTCTTTGTGTATACACGTATCTCTACGTGTGTGTGTGTGTGTTTCTAAGTGTGTAAGCGTATATTCGCTGTTTTTTTATATCTGTACGTAATTTCACCTATGTATATGTACCTACGTGTGTATTTATGTACAGCAGAAGATGGATCAAGGGCTGTCGATTATTCTCATGCTGTGTTTATCGGTGTCTTTATGTGTATGCACCCTTGTGTTTGTATGTGTGTACGAACGGATACAATGTATCATGTGTTATCTCTGTTATGTGTGTCTATGTGTGTGTGTGTCCATATGCATTGTGTAGAGCGGTGGCGCAGTGGTTAGCACACTGCACTACGAACCCAGCGACCCGAGTTCGATTCCTTTCCCGTCCAAGGCTAACATCAGTGCCGAGTGCTATCTGAATGGGCACTGGGCCTCCCTTAAGTCGACACAGCCTTAAATGAGTACCT